GTGAAGTTAATCATTTCGGCTTCTGAGTGATTCGGCTGTGTAGTTTTTAGGGTTTGTTACACAGACGAGATAAGAAACATTATTTTTGAGAAAATTTTCAACTAAGATTTTCCAAAAGTCAAAAGCCTGAAACTTACTTCATGGATAGAGGAACTCTGCATTTTTATGGGCCGTTTGAGTTGCCAGGTATAGTCGGTGGAAGAAATATAGCGAGGTCGACGTATTGACGGTGAAAAACTATAATTTCATCGCTTTCCTTAAGCGCATCTTCAACATTCACCACTTCTGTATTTCCAAGTACGCGCGTCATTTTATTGCTCCCGAATGTAACAAGAAATAGCTGTGACATAATCAAGGATGAAAAGAGACCTACAGATAATTGAGAATATTTCTGTGACAGTCGAGCGGAAACGCGCAATTCGAGTCTGTCGAAAATACTCGGAACGCGAACCGTCGGCGGATGACACGGAAAAAGGAAGATGGACCCGTTCTTCTTTTCTCGCGCCTTGCTGAACAAGCCTTTCCCGTTGCTTTTGATGTTCCAACGAGCTCCTTTCAACTTCGAAAACGTTTCCGTCTTCCGGTTTGGCAATTAAGGCGAAAGTTCCCCGTTGTAAACGCCGTTTAATCCGCCTTCAGACGCCGCCAGATACGGCTTGTAACCGGCACCTACTATCTTCGTGTGAACTTTCCAAACGAATTTCACTGACAATTCTCCGCCGGATGAACTTTCTGGCTCTGCTAACACGCGAAAGACGCACTGATGCGATCAACAGAAGTAGGAGGAATCACATGTTGCGTGAAAACTTACAGAGTGTTCGTTAATAGGGGGATCCCCGTTTCGGAGACACTCGAACCTTTTTGAAATTATTTTCAGCAGGTACTGAAAATAAGTATGTATATTATTCGTGATTATTAATTCACTTAATTGGCCTAATGTGAATCCTTAGATTCGTCAAGAATAACTTGACTTGAAAGAATCGTATGAAGTTTAAGTTAACATGAAAAGGTTGAGTAATTTTCAAAGCTCAACTAATCGCTCGAGCGATGAATTTGCGAATGATTAAAAATCCGACATTTCATATTACACGACCTAATATTTCAAATTCATTTATAATAACAGAACGCTTGGTTTATGAGAAGAAAATTAAGTTGCGCGCATAGGGAATTTTGGGGAATTAAATTGGTAACCCAAGAAGTTAAGATAATGGTAAGAGTGAAATGGTTAATTTTTTTTATTTCGAAAACAATATTTTGTCATAGCCGTGTTGCTTCGAAAAATGAAACGATTGATGCAGGTTTGAAGTAGATGTTCTTCTAACGACTATCGATAAGTTTTCGATATATCGACAATACCGTTAAGATCTCGATATTTCGACAATATCGTGATTAAATAAAGTAGAATGCAACACGTAATACATCACTCAGATCTAGTTATTTTGATTTAAACTTAATATAGAAAGTACGTAAGTATATTTAAGCTGTAACCTCGTCCTCTTGTCCGAAAGAATCTGTCCTATTTTAGAAAAATAATCTTTCACTTGAAACGGAAGTTTCTGGTATAGATAAATATTTGACAGTCATCTGACAACCATTTTCTGTATTCCATCAGGTTATTGGTGACATTGTCGTTGGTAGCACTGCTAATTTAAAAACCTCTAATTTAGAAGCTTTGTAGTATCACATTTTTTGTATAAATAAATATATAATACAGATACTATATTTGTACAAATAATAATTACTATATAAGTATGCAATAACCTCTTCCAGTCATGAATAACGAAGTACTTGATTTGTTTCTCTGTTATGTAAATTATAAAGTAAACACGAACTGCACTGATCATAAATTTTGGAAATGCACACTACTTGTGTTTTATAATACTTCTTAATAGATTTAGTTTATATTAAAACTAAAATTCCAATTTTGGTACATAATTTTCAATTTTAAATAATCATAAATAATTTTGTCTTTTAAAAGATAAAATAAATAAATTCAACGTTTTTGTGATCTGTTTATTTTATCACTAAGTCACTCACATTTCAAAGCGGAGAAAGAAGCAACTGAACGCAGTACGTAGAAATTTATACGATATCGAATCTGTTATTAGTTTCAAGCCCAGTCCCCGATTTATATCTAATACAAACTCGATATCTTACTCGAGGAGGAATAAATTTTGCAATATGGAAGGATTTTCTCCGTATGGCGCGGCACGCTTCCGTAGGAATCCGGCGAAACAAAATAAAATATTGGATACGAGCGCGGCAAGGAAACTTAAAGCCATGCAGGTGCTTGATATCTGAAAAATAAAACGAAAAGTCTTACACAATGAACGGCAATTTAATTAGCGGCTTAATTAATTTACGTTACTTTCCAGTGACGATATCGTAAATGTTCTTTAAACAGGCGGCCGCCTACAGAACAAACGAGGAGTAAATGAATTTTATATTTCGTTTCGTTTCGTTTCACTTTTATCTTATTCGAAATATTAAAGTACCCTTAATTACGGCTGGTTTGCAGCTGCTCGAGAGTGGAAATAGAAGATAATTTCGAATAGCTAATTGACTGATCGTTTCAAATATTTAGGCAAATGTTTAGGATTAATTACTTTTTCTTGGTATTAAAGTGTGGGCGAAAATAAATCAAGTAAAAAGTGAAAATTCAAGCACTTGCAAGCTCCCCATTTATGATCGTTGGAAAATATGAAGCAGGAAATTGACTATTTCTTTTTATTGAAGTCTCTTTTTATTAAACCTTGAAATACATTGGAAAAAGTTTATTCAAACTTGTGATCTTTAGGAAATCAGAAGAGAATTTTTATTAAAGGTTAGATCAAACAGAAAACTGTACGTGATTTTATTAACAACGTTACAGTAATAATCTCTTTCAAATATTTATAAATGATAAAAATTGTGACGAAATAATAAAAGAACAACGCATAAATATAGAAGAAAAAAGAATTCACGTATTTCAGATCACTTCAGCATTTTTTTTTTTTGTTCCTTCGTAATCCATTTCTTCCTTTGTTCAAAATAACCTCAACGACAATGGACTCGTCACACTAAAAGAATATGTACATAGTTTCCCCTGTACCATCGAACGGTTGATGGTTATCGCAGATTAAGCTCTCCGTCGGCAACGTAGTATCGGCCAGTCGATCGTCTGGAAGATCGATCGATCGAAGACACGACGGAGATTGGTCTATAAAGGATGCTTATAAAACGGCAAGATCGTAGACGAAAATCGTCGAAAGCAAATTGCTCGAGACCTATCCTGGTTTGAACCTCCTGGATCGCGAAAATGCGGCTAGACGTGACTGAGATTTGATACGTGAGAAACATTTCCTCGAGAAAACGATTCGCGTGGAATCGAAATTTTGACGATCGATGAGAATCAGTGAAAAATATTGATATCGAACGGGGGAAAAGTTTTCACTGCAAACTTTAAGTGTTTTCCGCGAAAGTGAAATTTAGAGAAATGCTTTCTTCAATGCGTAAAATGAAACAGTAACAATTATTCATAGTTTGGTTGATTTTTCTTTTATTATAACTCGTACTTGTTCGTTTATTCGTTGATAACACGAAAAATAAAAACCGTAATAATTACACATGAAAACAGTCAAGTAACCTCAAAAAACTAGCGAAGCTGTAAACACGCCTCAAAACTAACCTCCGTGGTCGCATTCTTATGTTAATGCGACGTTTTAAATGTCTATGCAGTATTCTTATGCAGCACGTATCGATAAATCACTGCGCTTGCGAAGAAACTTCACGGTAATCCGAATACTACAGTGAAAACGGCTCGTTCAGCTTATTCGTAAGTTACTGCAAGCCGTGATATGGCCGTTGGTAAATGTAAAGCATCCCGGCTACAAATTGATAGATCGAGAGACCCAGGATGATGGATTTGATTAGTCACGGATCGTCTCGTATTTCGTAGGTTAACTTACTAGCTGCTCGTCGCGATAACTCGGTCAAACTCGTGCTGATCACCGAACGATTCTCGATATCCGCCGGAGGCATGAATGTGCAACGAACTTACGCGATATTATAAAACGGATGCTGCAAGATTTTGAAAATAGGTTAACCAAGGCATTAGATATTCGACAATTACATTCAAATGAATTTCAAACTCTAAAATGCTGTATTATCTGCTACAAACGTGTAAATCCGGTACTCTGAACTTCTTTTACGTGCTTTACAAATTCATAACACAACACCAACGAAAAGATGCATCATTGTTATTCGATCGATATCTCGTTCGGTCTAACGTCGAGGGCACCTTGTAGACCTCGAAACTCGAAACCATTATACAGACTTATCTATCTGTTCAACACGGTCCTAGTTGACGTAGGGGAGCAGCACCTGTCATAGTACGACTGCATTTCACCGTACGTGGCAAACATAATGACGGATACGTGAACCTGTGAAATATTCAACTCACACGCGTTGTCCGCCACGTGTTGCTCTGTTGTAGAGTCGTGGTCCGTTAAGCACGGCCTATCTAATTCACTTGTACAATGCTCACACGAGCGCGGACCATGCTATCGGAAAATATTATTTAGCATCGCTAGAGCGAACGTTTTCGAGCGCAACGAACGATGAGGAACAAGCCACGCGGCTTGGCCATTGTTCTTTTAGCACGATGGACAGACGACGACTGCGAATTTTCGCGGAATGACAGAACAACGAAATAATCCTTCGATCGGTGGCTTTTCAGTGGTTCGTTCCTCGAAATGTAAAGTTTCCCTTATTTAGAAAAAGTAAAAATAAACGGTGACGAATGATAAATTAGATTTTAAAATGTTTAGGTTAGGTTAGGTTAAGTTAAGATACAAATCTTTTTTATAAATATAATTTGTTTCATGATAAGATTCATGACAAATTACGTTTTAGTTATGTTAACATTGAAAAATGACATTTACTGTATAGTTTTTGGTTATCAAATTGATAGATATTTGATACTAGAAACGTTTTACGAATTTACGAATATCTGATTCCAGGCTTACGATCAAAGCAGGATGTCCAATGAACCTTGAAAATTTCCCGATGGATACGCAGCGGTGTCCACTACAATTCGGCAGCTGTACGTTTCTAACCTCAAAATGCATGCAATTAATTCGAATAATATTAAACATTTAAAAAAAGCACTTCACAACACACAGTTAAAAAGTGTTAAATCTATGCAATTTTACAACGTTACGGATCTTAATCTCTTCAAAGATTTTGTTATATTATTTTGCACACACTACAAGTTTAATTACGTCGAAAAATTATAATCGTCTTACTCAAACTTGGTAATATGCATTAGGCATACCTGTATAATATTAAAAAAGAAAACACTAACCTTAAAATAGGAGAAGAATTTAGTAAAAAAAACTACAAGCTCAAAGGTAATACTGTAAAGCAAAGAAAAGCGTTAAAGAGATAGAGTGCTTCCGTGGTTCGGAGACGTTCGCGTAATTGTCGCTTTTTTGCGGGGGCGTCCTGCGGTAGAATGGGAAAGATTTAAGATCCGTAACAGATACGTGCCTCTCTCCCTTGAGAGATTTTTCGTCCAAGAAGAGAAGTGACACTGTAGGGGCGAACGAATTTGACGCTTTTTTACGGCCCCTTCGCGACGCTTCGGCAAGAAATATTCTCTTGATTACAGTCGGTTACACGAAGCGAGACGTGATCTACAAGTGGAACAGCGCGCGACAAGTAGCAATCGCAGAAGACATGAAATTATCCCAATTCGATTTAGTTGCCAATCCAACTGCAAATTATTCTTCAGCGACAACCCTCTCACACGGTGAGTCGATACTTCTTTTGCGGCATACTTCTTATCTATAAAAAAAAAATCACTGAAGATTATCAATGAAAAAAAGAAAACAAAATAATTATTTGGTATATTTGTGATCTAGGGATTTATTTATAGTTTTTTTTTTTTTGTAAATGTATAGCTGAGGTAAATTATCATTTATTTAACTGGAAATATATTCTGTACAAATGAATTTATTTAAAGTATTATACGTATTATATTGAAATTCATTTGTTCTTCAAGTTAGGGAATAAGAAAGTAGGATTTAATAAGTACAGAGCATGAATGCAAATATTTCCTAAACTGATGCTCTTAGAATGTTTAATTGTAATCGTAAAATTTAATCTTGTCATAAAATGATCTCGAATATGTTATTATTAACATAAGCTACTAAATGATCTCAAACTACCCAGCTCTGTGAAGTAATAACAATCTACGATATAAATATTTTTTCAGAAATTAATTTTAACAAACAATGAAAATTCGAGCCATGAATCTTCTCCGATATGACCCTCAGACGAGAAATAATCCGATTCCTCTTCCTACTCTGTAAATAGAACGTTCGTTGCTCGTCCCTCTATACCACAAATCATATACCCGCGCTTGAAATGCACGGAAGTGAAGAAAGTAGAATAACAATCATAAAGTAAATCATGATCTTCAGTACTATGATGCTTTCAGTATTCGCCGTTCAATTCAAATAAAATAGAAGTATGGTAAATCGATATTTTCTTTAACCGAAAACGAATTTAGTCTTAATTTATATTCAGTTGTTTCTTTAAAAATATTTCGTATTTAGTTATTTCTTTAAAAATAAGTATAGATCATGAACTAA